TGAGTTGTTGTGGTATTATGGTGTTGAATGTTGAGCTAAAGTCTATGAACAGCATTCTCACATATGAGTCTTTCTTGTCCAGATGAGTTAGGGCTAGGTGGAGGGCAGAGCAGATTGCATCCTCTGAAACAAGCTGGGGATGGTTTCTTTGGTACAGGTATGATGGTGGCAGTCTTGAAACATGATGGGACAGTGGCTTACCTCAGAGAGGTGTTAAAGATGTCTGTGAAGACATTTTTCAGCTCCTCTGCGCAGTCTTTCAGCACACTACCAGGGATATTGTCCGGACCTGCTGCTTTCTGGGCATTGATGGTGATGAGTGTCCTCTTCATGCTGGCAACAGACAGGCACAGAGGCTGGTCGTGTGGAGGTGGTGGTGTTTTCTGTGGGCGTGTGTTGTTCTGTGTCTCAAATCGTGCAAAGAAGCTGTTCAGGTTGTTGAGCAGAGTGGTGTCGTTCTCACAGCTACACGCTGCAGGCTTGTAGTCTGTAATAGCCTGGATGCCTTGCCATAGGCTCCGTGCGTCCTTGCTGTCATTGAAGTGGGAGGTTATCTTGTGTGTGTAGTCCTGTTTCGCTTTCCTGATGCCACGGGACAGGTTTGCTCTTGCGTGTTCTCAGGCCTATTTCATCCTCAGCTCTGAAGGCATTGTCTCTGGCCTTTAGCAGCCTGAGGACATCTCCTGTTAGCCATGGCTTCCGGTTTGCTCGAGTTGTGATGCTTTTCCCCTGTGTAACGTCATCAATGCATTTGGTGATGTATGAGCTCACCGTATCTGTGTACTCCTCGATGTGTATGATGTTGTTTTAGGCAGCTGCTTTCCTGAATATGTCCCAATCAGTTGACCCAAAGCAGTCTTGAAGAGCAGAGGTGGCCCCCTGTGGCCACACTCTTACGTCTTTCGTAACCGGTTTGACAACCTTCACTCTCTGTCTGTATGCTGGCATTAGCATAACAGTGAGGTGATCAGAGGTGCCGATATGGGGGAGGGGAATGGCTTTGTATGCTCCCTTTTCCTGTGTGTAGACCAGGTCCAATATGTTATCTCCCCTTGTTGGAAAATGTACATGCTGATGAAACTTTGGGAGAACAGTTTTAAGATCAGCATGATTAAAGTCTCCTGCGAGGATGATGAAACCGTCTGGGTGTGCTGTTTGTTGCTCACTGATGGCCTGATACAGTTTGTTCAGTGCCACATTTCTATCGCTGTTGTTGCTAGATGGATGTATATAAGTAGCGACCAACAAGATCGAACTTACCTCCCTGGGCAAGTAGAAGGGGCGACACTTCACGATCATGAACTCCGCCAGTGATGAGCAGTGTTTTTGTACTACAGTGGCATCACGACACCACTCGTCACGGACGTAAACACAGACCCCACCACCTTGGGTCTTGCCTCCGTCTACGAGAGCCCTGTCGGCTCTGTAGCATGCAAGCTGCTCCAGCTGTGTAGCCAAGTCCGGAATGTTGTCATTAAGCCATGTCTCAATGAAAACTAGCACACAACAGTCATTTACTCTGCGATTCGCTGATCTCAGAAGTCGTATGCTGTCCATTTTATTGTCCAGAGATCGTACGTTGGCCAAGAGGAGCGACGGTATGGCTGGGCGAGTTGGCTTAGCCTCAAGCCTGACTCGGACACCTCTGCGCTTGCCCCGCTTCCTTGTCCTAGCGCACCGCTTTCGACGTCTCTTGCCCAGCGAGGGGTAGCAGGCGAGTCCTGTGGGTTGTTAGGCCAGCTAGCAGGCCAGCTAGCAGGCTGTCGCAGAAGTCCTATTTCTCTTAACATCTCAACGTTAGTGTTCAAAACTTGGCAGATCTTGCTTCTCCGAATGTGTAAGAGAGCCTGACGACTGTACACATATTCCGATGTGGACTGGCAAGAAATTCTTGCAGAAAGACACTTACTTGACGAACAAAACGCCGCATTTTCAGGAGAGTGTGAGGTTGCTGCGTCTACACGTGCCGCCATCATATTTGTCTGTAACATTCAACAAATGTGCATTCAACAAGTGCAGTTGATGATGAAAATGTAGGTGCCACACATTACATTGTTCGTCAGCTGCTGACCCCATATACAGGGAAGGGGCATGAGGTGTATATGGACAGCTATTATACTTCACCAGCCATAGCTCGTGAGCTGGCAGCTAACGAAATTGGTATGTGTGGCACTGTAAACTGCAACAGGAGGGATGCCAAGCAGCCTGAAACCAGCCCAGTTGCCATTGAGAAGGGTAGATGTTCCCATGTTCATGTGAAATGATAAGCTGCTGGCATGTACATGGCATGACACGAAGCGTCTCACTCTGCTGTCCACCATTCATGGCAACACATGCACAAAAAACGCATCCACACAAGGGAAAATGTGACTGGGTTTCAAGAAATGGAGAAACCAGTGTGTGCTGACAGATACAACTCATTTATGGAAGGAGTAGACAGCAGCTTTGACTCATCCCTTCTCGTGGGATTTCTTTTGATGCTATACATCTTAAGCCCCCTTCAGACAGGCCATGAAAAACGGAAATGTTCCGGACTCTGTCCATAAGACCTTTGTGTCTGAATACAAACATCCGGATAACGAGTTCCGGAATTTAACCGGACGAAGCCCCTAGTAACAGTTCCGGAATTGTTACGGAAAGGGTGGCTGCTTCAGACTGGTGAGGTAAAGTTCCGGACAAGGGGGAGGGGGAGGAGGAGGGGACCGGGGGACGCTGTGCGCACCTAGGTAGCTCGCTGCTGTAGCATGCGGTGAACCACGGCAGCTCGCCTCCTACGGTACCGCCTAGACGCGCGACGGAGCGCTTCACACCGCTTCAGTGATTCCTTTAACCATTGAGCTTCATCATCCAGGTCTCTTATGCGTCTTTGTGTGCGCAGAATTATGCTTAAGCGCCTCGTGATTTTTATCTTGAGAGGCGCTATAGAAATTATATTTTCTTCTTCTTCTTCTTAACATAAGTCCAATTCTCCCACCCCCACCCCACCCCCGCCGTCGTCAGACATCTGGAACTTTTCCCTGCTGTGTGAAGGCAGCTGAAAGGACAAGTTCCGGTATAAAAGTGGTGTGTCTGAAAACACAGTTCCGGTTAAAAACCGGATTGAATTATCCACAAATGTTCCAGAATGTCAGTCTGAAAAGGGCTTTAGTCTCCCCTCCCCCTACTAACACAGGTCCGTTGCAACAACGTAGTCGCAACGTATTTTCTGACACCTGTGATGTTGCAGGAACGTCGCATGTTACGTAGTAGCGACTTCCAAAGTGAAATTCCGCTACGACGTTGTCAGAACGTCACATAGGACATTGTCGCGACATATCCACAACTTTACTGCAATGTTGTGACAACATCACTATTATAACGTTGTGACAACATACCAACTAAATGTTTGTGGCACGTTGCAGAGACGTTTTCATGTTAACTTTTTTTTTCACCTTTATTCATTATTTACCACAGGAAATTATATTGCAAAACTAATGGCAGATTAACCGCAAAAACAACCAGAATGGAAGAACAAATGTATAAAAACCTTAAAAACAAGTAATATAGGACAGCGGTGTCTTGATTTCATTTAAAAGCTCTACTGCATATGTTTTCGTTTCGGAACCACTGGAGGAGATAATGCAAAGGATTCTCCAGAGAATCAAGAAAATTCTGGACAACCCTGAGCATTCTCTTCACAAGACTTGAGGATCCTTCCTGCCAACAGCCATTGTAACATACAACAACTCTTTGAAGACTTGATTATTATTATTATTATTCTGAGCTACTACAGCAGTCAATTTCCCTCTGGGACTAATAAAGTATTTTTGAATTGAATTGAATAGTAAGCAGCAGGATCAGATGTAATTTCACAGGATGGACAATAAACTGACTTTTCAGCTTTTTATTACATAAAGATTTGACATTTGCATACACAATTTAAACAAAACATTTTTATAGCACCTCTCAAAATAAAAATCACAAGGCGCTTAAAAAAATGATCAAAAATATATAGATATATAAATAGAAAAATCAAAAATTGCGAACAAAACTGAAAAATAAAACAGAAAGGGTGCAGGTTCACTTAGTCCTCCTCAGAAGAATGGGCCTCCATTTGTGTGGCACGATGCTGTGCTTCAGCCTGAAGGGAAAAAAGGAGGTATACATTAGTGAGCAATTAGCACATAAATGTCTCCAACAAGCTTTCAGTCATAAATCAGTTACCTCTCTTCTGACTTTCTGGGGAGCATGCTTTAGGACTTCCATTATTTGCACCTCTATGTCCTTATCTGTGGAGTCTGGAAGCGAGGTCTTCACAGCACGTGGGAACAGACAGGTGATATACAGGAAACATTAAGATTACTGAAACTGTTTTACAGTTGTGACAGACAGCTGTAAAAAGATTTAATGAAATTCTATAAAACAAGTCCAGTAAAAAGCATCAACTCACAGTTGATCAGCCTAAATATTTTAAGGTTACACAGCTTGGCTTTCTGCTTCTTCCCATGCAGGCTGTATCCACACCAAACAGCATTGCTGGCGACAGCCAGCATGGTCCTTCTTGTATTTTCTCCCAGCTTCCGTCCTCCAATGAGGCTTAGAAAACGGACCTTATGAATTGTACAAAGTTGATCAAATAAAATATCAGATTTCATTAAAACCATTTTCTGAATGTCTACAATTGTTTACTTACAGCTTGCTGGAAATATGCCTTGTCCTGCAAGTTATTGTCAAGCAAGGTAAAGTCCTCCGCATCTTTACAAGGCTCCAGGCGCAGATCGTCTTGAGTTTGGCTCTCAGAATGCCGAGAAGCCACATTATGGAGCAGCTTCTCCATGGCGTGCATTTTTCCCTCCATCATGTTCACTTTGATCAGCAGTGACTTGCAGATATCTTGGACAAAAGAAGAATCATACATTACAACACAAATAATAGATTTAACTTATAAGTGGACCTTTTAAGAAGGGGGAACTCAATCTCACCTGTGATTGCAGCAATATTCTTTAAAACATCAGCTTGATCTGAAATGATAAAATGATAGGTTCTCAAAAAAAAAATCTACCAAAACATTTTAATACACCACTCTAGGTTTTGGTAGAGGTATTTTAAGTTACTTGCCTTCAGTGGCTTTTTGCCTTGGGGTGACTCTTTGCCTTGGTGTACTTGTGGCCATTAAATCTATGAGTTGACAAAACACATTTTAATAGTCGTAGTGCAAAGTTTTAAAAGGCAAATATACAAATCAGTTGACATTTTAGTTACAGCAGAAGATAAAATGTGTACCTTCACCGTTGAGGGACTCAGCTGGCAGTGTTGTCCTCTTTGAAACAGGAACTGAAGGGGGAAAAACATATCAAAACTAAATTAAACAAATAATTTGCAGTCTAAAGTAGCTGCTGGGCAGTCTAGAGGACAAATTGAAGTATGGCCTGAATAAATTAGATGAACATAAAGGAAAATATACACACCATCTCTGCTGGATGGTTCTATCAGCAGCAGCATTCTCTCTGCCATGGGAACTGCAAAAAATGAAGAAAAAAAAAATAAAAAAATAAAAAAAACATTATTGGGCTAGAAAATTATTATGGAGCTCTGCACCCCACAAAATAAAATTAGATTTAGTTAAAAACACAAGTTCTAGCAGTAGAACATCGGCTCAAAACTAACCTGTCGTTCTCTCAGTAGAGCATGGACCTGAAAGCAAACAGATGTTTTTTTTTTTTTTTTTTTTTTTTTGCAATTTTATATTATTAAAAAGAATATACAACATGTTTATGACAGAAACATTACCTGCTTCATCATCGGAGCTGGACAGGTACCGCTTATTGTTCTTAACCTTTCGTTTGGTCACCTCTCTCTCACTCTCGGCTTGGGAATCTTCCAGGTATTGCCTGGCAAGACGCTTGGCTTCTTCATATTCCTCGTAATAAGCATAACAGTCAAGTTCATATGAAAAGCTTAGAAGGAAACCATTTATATTTGATGGCCAAGTAGTAGTTGCAGTACCACTTTGGCGCTGAAATAGCTTTACTCTATGTTGAGTCCAATCAGGAGATGGATGTTCCACATTTAGGTTCCTGAATGTGGTTTTGTTTGCTGTCCAGTAACAATAATGCACCTAAGATTTTGGAAAAGAGATTAGTTTTCAACCAAGTTTACACAGGCACATAGCCACAGGAATTTCTGAATAAACTGCATGTTCAAAAAACAACAAACTCACCCATTGTTTATGAAAATTTAGCTTTTGACTACACATCTCAAACTAAAGCAATACTTTGTGTTACAATGTTTAATACTAGCTAACTAAACAATTTGATTCTCGTTCTTCTTTTGCTAGTTTGGAAGACTGGGTTGCCCAAGTCCAGTCCTTGGGATATTTTAGATACATTCTTGCTCAAATGGCTAAAAGTCCATCACGCCCCCTGCCCCAAACACAAATTTCTAACGCTCCATTAATGTTTAGCTAAACATGGCCATCTCTCTACACAAGATCTCAATAAAGTCGACAGACACAGTGAAAAGGCTTGCTTAAACACCAATAAACATTACCTAATTATTAAAAACCACTGAGCCGCAAAACGTTTAGGGCAGAACATTAGCCCAGAGGTTTACTGATCGAGCAGACATGTGAGAACACGTGTAATGACCGCTTAGCAATGGGGCTACCTAGTGGCTAACGGTAGCTGGACTGCTAACTCTACAAATACACTGGTTGTAGTTATATCAAAAGAATAGTTACAGAGTCATCTTGCTTGAAATTAGATTGATATTTTTCTAAATCAAGCGAAAAGTCCAGTTAGTTTGTTTGATTTTACTTGAACAGACCGAATAAACTACAGTAGGTAAGCTACCATGCGGTAGCTATTGTTTGAGGGCAGATATATGCTATTGCCTTTTGTAAACCAAAATTAGAACTAACAAGCACATGATAAAACTTTTTCTTACCTGAAGCAAGCGAACTAAGGAGTGAGTGGTTGACAAATAAATCCGAAGTAGCCAAATAGCAAAGGCAACTAACTGTTAATCTTGTGGAAAAAAACAAGGGATGAAATAAGAACAAAAAAAGAGGCAGAGTAAGCTGATTGGAAGATGGTCTGGAACATGTGATGACCATAACAAATCAGAGAACTGGCTGGAAACAGGGTTGTTGCAACAAGCCATTCCATTGGAATGCAGTGAGGCCAGTAACATGTAAATTAGCTTACATTTCCTTGCTGGTAGATTTTAGAAAGTAAACATTTGTAAACGGCAAAAATGAGTTTTTCAGTAGACAACGTTTAGAAAAGTTTTTTCATAAAATAAAAAGTCCCATTTTTTTTATTAGAAAGACATTTTAGCTATAAACATGATTTAAGTACTGCAACTACTAATTGTTTATTTAATTATTGTCAAAACTCTAATAATAATAAGTGTTATTTTTCATGGATAAGCTGAAAATCTAATTTGATAAAATCTGTAAAATTTTATTTATTCTGGAACTACAGTTATCACGTTGTAACAACGTAGCAGCAACGTTGTTATTCAAAGTGCCGAATAAGTTGCAGAGAGGACATTTAACAGAGGTTGTAAAGCGACTTTAGGAGGACGTTGTAGTGTGACGTTTCAGCAATGTACCAACAACGTCCCCTGTGGAACGTAGTAACCTAAACGTACCAGCTACGTTGTCACGACGTCACAAACGAAACGTCGCAAAATGCGACGTTGTGGCGACTTTCTGTGTTAGCTGCCACACCTGGTGTGGAGTTTTGTGCCTTGCTCTGCCTGAGTGTTCGCTGCTCCCGGGTTCGGGGGTTTAAGATTTTTAGTGTGTGCCTGATCAAGCCCGGTGGCTGCCTGGTGGGATGTGGGTCCATGGGCTCTGCTGGGTCCCCGGCGAGGGTTGTCGCCCCTGGGTCCCGGGTTGCTGGGTCCCGGGCTCGGCCGGCTAGGGGGTGGGAGGCTGCGGGCGGGCATGTGGGCTTGCCGCTGATATTTCCCGGGACTCTGCCGGGACTCTGCCGGCTGCTGGTTGTGGCCCCCCGGGGCAATCCTCTGCACCTCTCGAGGGGGGCAGGGGCTTTTCTGATCGCAGTCTCCTTGGGGTCCCTGTGCTCTAGGGCAGCTCCTAGATCTCTTGGACTTGGAGCTCCCTCCATCTCCTACACATCTTTGGGGGTAGATCTGTGGCCCCTCACACTCTCTATTGGACGCTCCTATAGATAAACCTTATATATACATGCGTGTGTACACACACAGGTGCTCACATGGTGCTCTCATAAGTATGGACTTGTCTTAACACATGTCAACACATGTCTTAAGGCTGTGGTTGGCACTAAATGCACTGTGATTTATTATCGTGTGATTGTTCAATAAAACAACGTTGATTTTATATTTCTGCATTAGCTATAATCCAATCCAATCCAGTTTTATTTATAAAGCACTTTAAAAGACCCAGCACAGGAACAAAGTGCTGTACAGAAAATACATTAAAACAATTGACTAAACAGAAAACAGCAAAGATAGATAAATAAATAAAACACATGATACATAAAAATAAAATAGCCCTATATTAAAAATAAAAACTTGATAAAACCACATTGAATCACCTAAAACAGCTAAAATAAAATAAAAAAAAGAAACCAACATCTCATAAGGTATCAAAAGCCAGGGTAAAGAGGTGGGTTTTCAGGAGTGCCTTAAAAACAGACAAGGCCTGTCTTATCTCTAAAGGAAGTTCGTTCCACAGTTTTGGAGCTGCTACAGCAAAAGTGCGATCTCCTCTAAGTTTACGCTCAGTCCTGGGTACAATCAGGAGCAGCTGATCAGCAGACCTGAGAGAGCGGGAGAGTGTGTAAGGCTGTATCAGGTCAGAGAGATAAGAGGGGGTGAGGCCATGAAGACCTTTAAAAGCAAACAAAAGAATTTTAAAATGAATCCTAAAAGAAATGGGCAGCCAGTGAAGTGAAGCTAAAACAGGGGAAATGTGCTCAAACTTTTGAGTGCCAGTTAAAAGACGAGCTCCGGCATTTTGCACCCTCTGTAGGTGACTAATACATGATGCACTGACCCCAATGTAGAGTGCGTTACAGTAATCCAGCCGAGTGGTTACAAAGGCGTAGATCACTGTCTCAAAGTGCTGCCGTGAAAGAATTGATTTTATTTTTGCCAGCTGCCTATAAAAAACCAAACCATTAGACAAATAACTGCTATGACATACTGAACTCACTAGAAAATATTTTTCAATATTTTACACGATAACTACTTGAAAAATGTAGGTCATCTACCTAAAGCTGTAACACCAAAACTACAAATAAGCTAGGTTTTGAAAACAAACACGGTCACGGAACAATCACCCCTCCCCTTGGGTATCTTTCCTGAGATGCTTCTGCTGGAACCGTAAACCCACATTGCCAGAGTAAATGAGAACGTACTGAACATTTCTAGGTCCTAACCTCTTTTGTTGTCCATCTCTGTCCAGATTGGTGACTGTGCATCCTCCTGTCTTCCACTGCCTTGGGGGGGTGCCACAAGGTTCCATTCTCAGGCCATTGCTTTTTTCTATCTACCTTCTGCCTTTGGGCAAAATCCTGAATCAGCATGGCCTGAGCTATTACATTTACGCTGATGGTTCCCGGTTCTGGAACTGTGCTGCTCTGGGTGGCTGCATGTTGGAGTAGCTCTGTTGACTATATGTAAGTTTTGACTTTTCTTGGACATTTTTTCTTCTAGTTTCTCAAGAAAAACTGTATTTTTTGGACATTTTACTTTTCTGTGTCTGGTGCTGTGAAGCTTGGAGGATTTTTACTGCTATTTTTTTTCACTTTTTGAGCATTTGTTATGATGTGTAACTATGGCAACAAGCTATTAACAATCGGGAGCAGCTGATTAACATTGAGAAGGCTGAAATAATGGCTGTGTCTCAATTCAGGGTCTGCATCCTTCGTCGGCCGGATTCGTCTGCCTTTTACGTCACAGCGCCGCAACTAGGCCTGTCCCAATTCGAAGACTCCTTCAAATGTAGTCAACGAATCCGGCCTTCTTTTCGCCTGTATGAAGGATGGGTCCGGTGTATCCTTCAATGGTTTACATTTCCCAAGATGCCTTGCGGGCCGGATGGCAGAACTTTTAAAAACAATGGCGGACAGTGAAGCGGGAGCTGTCGGAGAGGATTGTGCATGTAAATGTCAGTATAAACTTGAAAACTGTTAGGTTAAGGACTTTTTGTGATGCATGAACATTATTTTAGTTAGAAATGTTACAGTAAAAGTGCTTGTATTGCGGTCTCGGCTCGTATGTTCGGCCGCTCTGTGTCGTACTTCTCCCGCTACGTTTTCCCCCTGATATAATAGGAGTTTGTATTTTAGGGACAAAAGAGAAAACCAGGGAATTTATTAAGCTTGGGGCGAAGATGGACCACATGATCACTGGAGCAAAGTATTTGGTGGCTGTGGTATGGAGGTACAATAACATCTCATATTTTAAAAACTGTGGTTTGAGTTTATTTTTTTCTGCGAAAACATGAAAGGAATAACCCGTTGTCCTCTTTTCTCTATCTTTTCTCTCCCTGTTTTTTTCTTACATGTTTGTTAAGACTACTCTGGAGAAAATGGTCATCCATGGGAAGGTGACAGCGATAACCAGCTTCTGGAGCTGATCAGGGAGGACATGAGGCTGCAGAGGGAGGCAGAGCAGCAGAGGGCACAGGAGAGAAAGGGAGAATTTTGACAGGCTTTTTAATTTGCTAGAAAAAATGGTTAAGGAAGATTAAACATGTACATATAAAAGATATATCTAAATAAAATCAATTCTGTATTAAACACTTGAATTTTATTTTTGTTTACAAATGTGAATTGTTTAATATTACAGGGTATCCGCTGGGTCTTGAAAAGTCTTAAAAGGGGATAAATCAGTTTTGGTCAAATTAAGACCCTTAGAAAGTATTAAAAACTATTGTCACATCTTTGCTCAGGCTCAGCTTGTCGAAATAATTTTCTCTGAATTAGCCCTCCGACAGTCAAGGAAATGATTAAAAAGATTAATAAAACTTTGTTCTCCAACGTTTAAAGTTCCTTCTCCCTTCTGGTCAGCGGTTCCACGGTTGCTAGGTGACGGAACGTTTCCGAGGGAGTGGCGGGAATTCATGAAGGCTAGGCCTGTCCAAATTCACAGCCATTAACATCCGGTCTACTAGGCCGATTGAGAACCCCGCCCACGTCGGCCGAGTAGGCTGGGTCCTTCGAAGGATGCAGACCCTGAATTGAGACACAGCGAATACCTCAACTGAAGCCACAAATCCCAAATGAGCTAAAACGCAAGAAGCGTGGGTGCAGAGCGGGAGCAAAACGGAGACTGCGAAAGAGGAAATTCAAACCATCTCTTCCATCGATCATAATGGTTAATGTGAGATCACTGGCCAACAAGATGGATGAACTGCAAGCCCTTTCAAGGACTCAGCCAGAGGATCGGCAGTGTAGTGTTATGTGTTTCACTGAGACGTGGCTGCAGGACCATATCCCTGATTCCAGTGTCTCTCTGCCAGGATTCCTGACTGTACGAGCAGACAGAGATCTGAAGAGGAGCGGGAAACGAAAAGGAGGTGGAGTGGCAGTGCTTGTCAACAACAGATGGTGCCATCCATGTCATGTTTCAGTGAAATGTCGTCTCTGCAGCCCAGATGTTGAACTCTTGGCAGTAAGTTGTCACCCATATTTTTTGCCAAGAGAGTTCACCAGTGTTTTCTTGGCAACCGTTTATATTCCACCTTCAGCCATTGCTTAAAATGCATATGATGCCATCAGTTACGTTGTCACTAAGCTACAAACCCAGCACCCCAATGCATTTGTGGCTATATCTGGTGATTTTAATCATGCCTCGCTCTCTGCTACACTTCCAACATTTCAACAGTTTGTCAGCTGCTCCACCAGAGAAAACAAGACATTGGATTTTTGTTATGCAAATGTAAAGAATGCATACATGTCCAAAACAAGACCTCCTCTGGGACAATCAGAACACAATCTTGTTTTCTCTGCTCAGAATACAAACCACTTGTTCAGAGGCAACCTGTGACAAGAAAAACTGTGAGAAAATGGTCACAGGACGCTGAAGAAGCCCTGCAGAGTTATTTTGAGACCACAGATTGGATGACTCTCTGCCAAGGATATGCAGTGAACATAATGCCATGACTGGATGTGTCACTGACTATATAAACTTCTGTGTGGACAACATCATACCCACCAGAACAGTGAGATGCTTAGCTAATAACAAACCCTGGATCACCAGTGAACTGAAGAATTTGCTAAATGAGAAAAAAAAGAGCCTTCAAGGAAAGAGACAGGGAATTATTGAGGAGTATACAGAAGCAACTGAAGATCAAGATCGGAGACAGCAAGGAGGCATACAGGAAGAAGCTGGAGAACAAACAACAGGGGAACAATATCAGAGATGTCTGGTCAGGGATGAAGAAGATCACAGGCTTCACACAGAGGAAGGATTGCACAGATGGCAGCCTGGACACAGCCAATGAACTGAACAAGTTCTTCAATAGGTTCAGTTCAGGAACAAACCCAGCATCCTCCTCACCTATCCTCAGCCAATCAGACATCCCATCCTCCTCTGATCCAACATTTTCCTGTCACATGCCAGCTCTTTTGTCCTCTAACACAGTCATGGACTCTTCTGGTTCTATAAATCTGTCTTCAACCAAGTCAGGAGATGCTGCTGCCCCATTTACCTCCCCCTCCCACCTATCTGTCTCTAGAAGTCAGGTGAAGAGGCAGCTGGAGAGACTGAACATGAACAAGGCTGCAGGTCCAGATGGTGTCAGCCTCAGGGTACTGAAGGCCTGTGCAGAGCAGCTCTGTGGGATTCTGCAGCA